TATGGCGATCTATGAGATTGATTTTATGGTCCACCAAAATAAATTAAAATTATGCTTATCCTCCTAATGTTAAATGTCGTAGGTTCTTATATACTTCATTACTAGAAGGGTTGTGCATGCTTTCCTGCGCCGTTTGTGTTGTCGGGATTTTTTTTCTTTTAGTTTGGCATGCGAGGGAGTTGATGGTGTATGTCTTTTTTAAAAATTTGATATTTTGATGGGCCCTTTTTAGAAGAGTGATTCTGTGTTAACTGCTAATCTATCCACATGTATGTGGCAAAATTTCTTGTGTTGGCGACCACATGTACTATAATGATGCTATAGTGTCACATGTTGACTTTTTTTTTGCCAGGTAATGAGGAGGTGGGCAGGACTCTTGTGTTGTTGCCGGACGATTTGAGAAATTATTGACCCGGTTAAAATCATGAACCAAATTCAAAATTAGTCACCTCAATCAAAATCGTTGACCGGTCTTAATTGTGAACTAGATGCAAAATTGAACACCTCACATGAATAAAACTATCACCAAATTCGAAATAACATCAATCAAAATCATTAACCTGGTCAAAACCGTGAATCAAAGATTGACGCCTCAATTGAATCAGAGAACTCCAAAATTAGAAAGCATAGTGTACTTACTGGAAGTGAGCGTTTGCTGCACCGCTCTTATTGACACGCCCTACTTTTCTTTATGTTGTCCGACTAATTTGGCGAAGAAGAAACCGATGGTGGATGCACCTTCATCCATCCAGTGAACATAATTTCTACTCCGCAAGACCAATATGAATATCCCCCGCAAAAAACAATATGAATAATGGATGCATCGGGGCATTGAAGATTGAGGTTTGTAAACCTTAGTTATGGTTTTCCCAACTGAAAAAAACCCAAAGAAACAAAAAAACAAAAACAAAAAAGATTGCCAACCAAAAAAATGGAAACAAAAAACCGGAAGAAAAAACAACACGCCCATGAGCACAATTGCATTTTTTTTACTTTTTTGGGGGGAAGCACATGTTGTGCTTCTCGTGGAATCACAGCGGTGCTTTCTGGCAAAAGCACAAACTGTATTTTCCTGTTTTTTGCCGATGAAAACACAATTATACTTTTCCCTTTCAGGAGGCACGAAGTACAACTATGTTTTTCCATTTTGAGAAGCACATAGGTGCTTCCGTAGATGCTAGGCCGTGCTTTTCTTTAAAGCACAATTGAGCTTCCTGCAGCTCGCTGAAAAGTGTTGCTTTCTGAAGAAAAAAAAACCCGCTCAAAGTGCAACACGTGGCGGTGGTTGGATGCACCATTTGACATGCTCTTAAGCAAAGAAAAGTGACCTTTGCAGGAGCCCGCCGACACCCATGAGTTCACGAAATCACTCTTCTTTTCTATAATTCACAAAACCACTAACACCAAAATCAAGCACCTGCTCCAACCCAACAATCCCCGGTAGCCCAACAAGGTATGTGGGCCTCGGTCCCATCTGCGAGATCGATGGAAACCCAGCTCAAGCAACCCGTGGAGCCTTGCCAGACAGGGAATCCTATACAGCGTGTACCCCCCTCGCAGCGCGGGTGTCGTATGGGCTGGCCCATTTTTCTATTTTTTTTCTTTCCTTTTTTCTTCTTTTTTTCGTTTCTTTTCTTTTTTTATTTTTATTTTTATTTTTCTTTCTCTTTATTCTTCTACAAATTTTCACCTTTCTTCATTTTTTCTTTTCAATTCCACAACCTTTTTTTTGTTCATCGAATTAAAAATTTGTTCATCTATTTTTTTTTCAAAGAAGGTGTTCTATTATTACAAATTTTGTTCATCAAGGATAAAAAAGTTCATCGGATTCAAAATTTGTTGATTGAATACCAAATAATGTTCATCAAATTCATTTTTTCTTCATCAAAATTCAAAATTTGTTCATCATTTTAAAAAAATACATCAAATTTGACATTTTTTCATCAATTTCGAAAAATGTTCATCAAATTCAAAATTTGTTCATACATTTTTCTTCCAAAAAAATTGTTCATCTAACTGAAAAATTGTTCATCATATTCAAAATTTATTCACCATAATGTTTAAAAATAGGTCATCAAATTCAAAAAATGTTCCGCAATATCCAAATTCACTTGCATTTTTTAAATAATGAATATTTTTTCAAATCACAAACATTTCAAACTCGTGAACATTCCAAATTCACTTGCATTTTTTAAATAATGAATTTTTTGGCGCCACGAACTTTTTCGCAAAAATTATTCTTCTTAAAATTTTGGAACTATTTCAAATTCTTGAATTATTTAAATAAGAAAAAAAGGGGGCGCCCCGCTGCTGCTCATGGGTCGGCTGCACGTGGGGGAGCGAGGGGGTGCGCGCAGGGACTCCTCCAGCACGCTACATGCTGAATAGGAGTCCTCGCGTCGGACCGCGGGTACATGCTACGAGCAGGACCACCGCCGACGGGCTCGAGCACTACGAGCCCCCTCCGTTCGACAAAACCAATGACAGCGACTTGGTGTGCCTAGTCAGAGCAGGAATTACGAGCGGGTCTCCAATCGGAAAACCGCGTGCCGGCATTGGTCTGAGGCTCATATGGACCCAACCCAGCCACCAGCGAGAAACACTGCCCATGGCCCTCAGCGCGGTGCACCAGCAGTAGTGATGGCCAGATCTCACCACTGTTGCCCTGTCTGCGCCGATGAACTATCGCCTCCCGCTCTCCTAGTGACTCCCAATCGTCGTCTAAAAGAGCCCAGAACTGCCTGCTTGGGACGTGAGGTTTATATCAGAACTGGAGATGACAATAGAGAAGGAGACAAGGGCACCGGCTGAGATCAGAAGAACAGCGGCGAGGCCTAGGGTGCCGCCTTGAGGATACGCAAAAATCCATGTTGATGCAAGGATGGCAAAATCCAAGCTGAGAGGAGCGGCATCTGCAGTGTGTCGAGATGATGATGGACGATAATTGGGCAGCTCCTCTCTGATTGTCTGGGGAATCATCGATGTAGCCACACTCGAGGCGATGGCATGCGGAGAAGCTTTGGCTCTGACAGAAGACTTGATGATTCCAAAATGTTATAATTGCCTCTGATTCAAAGCAGGCGGTGAACGACATTGAACGAGTGACTAGTAGCAATTATGGTTATATCATTAACGAGATTAAGCAGCAAGCTAATTTAATTAATTGTAAATTTATTTTTAAAGTCGGGCATCAAAAAATAATGCAGATAGGTTAGTTAAGTTTCAAAAACTCTTCGTCAGGGGCAGCATATATGGTTCATCCATCCCATGATCCCTTTTGTATATCACTTCATATGGACTATGATAATAAAGCTTAGCTATACCTCTAAAAAAAGAAACTCACGTGACGACCAACTAATTCCATGACGTTCATAGGTCCAAGCTACTCACTCTTGTCTCCACTGAACTCCGCGTCGTTGTCCGCTCGCCGGTTTGAAATGCCGATGAGCTATAAAACTTCCCTCTATACTTCCTCCTTTTCGGTTTATAGGGCTCCATTCAAAAATCTCATCAACCAAGATAGATGATGAGTGATGAAAAACTTTTTGTAATTTACAAAAACACCCAATTAATGCTCTTGTTTTCTTAAAAAAATTATGTTTATCAATGTATTAATTGCAATGCATACATGCATAAAGTACATGCATTGGTCAATTTTCTCTTAATACTTACATGCAATTATTTAATGCACCTTCGAATCTAAAATTGTGATGGAAAACAACCAAGTTGAGTCTTATAAAATGGAAAAAGTAAGATTTTAAGATAAGCCCTATAAACCAGAGAGAACTGAGTATATTTTATAATGCTCCCCGAGCTTCCTCCTTCCTAAGCTGCCAGTGCCAAGTACCGTACCAACTACCAAGGGTAAAACTAGTCAGAATGGAGAGCAACACAGACGAGTAACATATACATATTCCTAAACTATGTTATTACCTTCATAGTGGGTAGTACTACCTCCGTCCGGGTTTTTAAATCCCCTCAGCATCCCACGCCTGTACTATATTTACAAGGCCGCTACCTCGAGCCGCGCTGCATGCAAAGGAGAGAGAGAGAGAGTAATTATGTGCTGCATGCATGCAAGGGAGAGAGAGCGAGTAATCAAGGGAGAGAGAAAGAGTCTCCGGTCATTTTTACTCTGTATATAAGAATTGTCTGAAGTTAAACTTTGAAAAGTTTGACCATATTTATATGAAAAAATATTAACATCTATCATGCTAAAGTTATACAATATGAAAATTTAAGTCCTAATGCATAAATTGGTATTGATTTCACATTATGAATGTTGATATTTTTTTCTATGAAGTTGGTCAAACTTTACGAGGATTGACTTCAGATAAATCTTATATACGAACTAAAAAGGACCGAAGGGAGTACTAGGCATGCACGCGTGTGAAGGAATTCGATGCATGTAGTGACTACTGCGCGAAGCTTATTGGCCGCTCCATATCTCAGCGCAGGTACAGCAGAGAGCGCCTTGGTCCATGCGTTTTGGTCTGTGGGACTTAAAAACCCGGATGGAGGTAGTAACATAAGTGTGATGTTATGCAAAGTTTTATTTATTAGGTTATAGACTCATATTGCATTGGGAGATGTGATGTTATAGTAACTAACTAATTTATTTAAACTATCTCTCTTCTCATTAACTCATTGCCACATAAGCAAATTTGCTGAGTTGGACTCGATGTTACTGTTGAAGTTACTCCCACTGTGGCTAGTCTAAGCGATAGGCTCCCACCATCGTCCTACTCCTACCACCCTAGTCCTGGTGCTGCTGCTACACCTCTACTACGTGCCTCGCTGGGCCTTCTCGCTCTCCTTCAACCTCGACTTCTCCGACCCCAGCGTCGGCTCATGGGTCGACCTGGTCGGCGATGATGCTCGAGCTGACAAAAAACGTCGTGAGTTGTGTCGGCCGGGAGTCGCAAAGACACAAAGTGCCGCTGTGGAACTGCGTCACCGGCGAGATGGCCAGCTTCACCGCCAACTCCTCCTTCTGAATCATGCTGGAGAAGGCCGACCTGACGGGGACAGGATGTGACGGGATGGCCTTCTTCGTTGCGCATTTCCCTTCAGAGATCTCGCCCAGCAGCAAAGGCGGCGGCCTCGGCCTCCTCCCGGCCTTCACCAACAGGACGGGTCGCACCCGCGTCGTGGCCGTGGAGTTTGACACTCTCCGCAACTCGCACTATGCCGACATCAACGGCAACCATATCGGCAGCAACATCAGCTCCATCAACTTCGTGGCGTCCACGGACACGAGGACGAGGCCGGGCAGGAACCTCACGTCATCCTATGTTATGGAGGCCACTGTGAGGTACCATAACGAGTCCCGGATGCTGGCCGTTGATCTCCTCATCGACGATGCCTTGTACCAGGCCAATGCAACCGTCGATCTCAGCACAGATTAGTCCTAGCCATGGGCCGCCCGGCCCGAACAGCCCGGCCCGTGCCGACCTGAAAAAGCCCGGCCCGACGCTGCTCCCGGGCCGGGCCTGGGACTAGGATTCGAGCCCGAAGGCTAGGTTGGGCCAGGCCTGGGCCCATTGTTTCTGCCATTTACTGAAGAGGCCCGGTGTGTTTTTGCTGTGATGGGCCGGGCTCAGGCCTGAAAACTAGGCCCAACGGTCAGGCCGGGCCGGGCTCGGGCCTGAGTTTTCTACCTCGGGCTTGGTCAGGCCCGGCCCGGCCCGGAGGATGGCCAGGTCTAGCGCAGATGCTTACCGGAGGAGGTCGCTGCCGGCTTCTCCACCACGACCGGCGACGCCTCCGAGCTGCACCAGATACTGTCATGGTCATTTAGCTCCACTCTACCTCCTCTTCCGACTAGGAACAACCACAAAAAGCTAGTAATGATCCTACTATCCGTGCTAGTCCCATTTCTCCTTTTATTAGTGCGTGCGGCCGTGGTGCTATGGCGGCGCCGCAAGAAAATGAGAGCAAATAAGAACAGCCAAGAACGGTGTGTCAACAGAGCTGATCTTGAGAGAGGTGTGGCTGCCGGCGGTCCCAGACGGTACACCTACCTCGAGCTGGTTGCGGCAACAAAACACTTCGCGGAGGAGGAGAAGCTCGGGCGAGGCGGCTTCGGTAGCGTTTACCGGGGTCATCTCACGCTCACACCCGCAACCACCGACCATCGTGTGGTGGCGGTCAAGATGTTGTTGGCGGAGTCATCGGCGCATGGGAGGAAGGAGTTCGAGGCCGAGGAGAGGATCATCAGCAGATTGAAGCATCGAAACCTTGTGCAACTGTTGGGTTGGTGCGACAGCCACAAGGGTCTTCTGCTTGTCTACGAGCTCGTCACAGAGGGCAGCATAGACAGGCACCTCTACAGCAAGGACGGCAAGTATCTGACATGGCCACAGAGTAGTGGTGTAGCTAGGGGGTGGCCAGAGTGGTCCATGGACCACCCTGAAATTCCCCCATAGCTTGTGTACAGTGTAGTAAAAAAAATATTTCTTTTAAAATAAACAAAACTTGTGTAAATATTTCTATTACCGGACCAACCTGGCAAATCGGGCTGGCTACGCCACTGCCACAGAGGTACAAGATAATCCTTGGCTTGGGATCTGCGCTACACTACCTCCATGGAGAGTGGGAGCAGTGCATCGTGCACACCGACATTAAGCCCGGCAACATCATGCTTGACTCGTCCATGAGCACCAAGCTCGGGGACTTCGGTTTAGCCCGGCTCATGGACCACGACACGGGGTTGCTGCAGACCACCAAGGCCGTGCTCGGCACCGTAGTCTACATCGACCCGGAGTTCGTCAACACGCGTCGACCGTGCACCGAGTCGGGCGTTTACAGCTTCAGTGTCGTCCTCTTGGAGATCGTATCTGGCCGGCGGCCGGTGATGGAGACCGCGGGGAAATCCTTCACACTGGTCAGGTGGGTGTGGGGACTATACGGCAGGAACATGATCCTCGGCGCGGTGGATGAGCGCCTGAGGGGTGACGAGGCCAATGACCGGTGGATGGTGAGGGTGCTCGTCGTTGGGCTCTGGTGCGCGCACCCAGACCGGAGCAAGCGGCCGTCCGTTGCCCAGGCCATGCACGTCCTGCAGTCCGACGAGGTGAGGCTACCAGCGCTCGCGCTGCACATGTGGACTGTGCCGGACCCCACATCATCCTCTGGCCCATATGAGGCCTTCTCCATTGATAGCTCCACGTGCAGCTCCAGTTGTGCTCGCTCTTCATTGGTCAACACCGACGCCGCTAGCCTTTCTTCAGGGTCGTCCTCAACTGCGTTGCTACGACATTCTAAGGGTCTAGCTAACTGATTCATCCAAATTTGTGAGTGTGGTGGCCATTATATGTAAGCATCATGGTAAACTTAACATTATGGCCACCATCATACTTGTCACATGGGATCCTTGTGACAATTTCTTGGGTAGGAGCCCCTACCTCTGCATCATTGTGATGCACACGGCCATTTTTATTATAGTTGATGTAAGATAATGAGGACAAAGACATCCACAAATGAAATACAAAACATAGGCAACCACGTTAGACTCCTTACAAGATATGAATAAAATATTACAAGTAAATCTACTTTTTCTGCAACAATGTCATCAAGAAAAGATAAACGCCCTCGTATTGTTGTCGCCGCGTCTGGCTGACATCCTAATTGCCGAGACTAACAACTGAAGGCCAACACATCAACAAGCATACAACACCTTCAACAAAGGCGACCAAAGTAAGTTAAATACTTAAAGGATTCCGTCAAACACCTTGTGTGCGTACACCAACAAGCAAACATCATGCTCTACTTTGCTTATATCTATGTGAGGCACAAGTATCTGTTAAAAATGACGGGGAAAAAGAAGGGGAATGGGAGCACAACATGAGTGAGTGAGTGAGTGAGTGTGTGTGTGTGTGTGTAAGAGAGAGAGAGAGTAGATGGTTTCTAAATTTTTAAAAATAAAGTTGATTTTAATATAAAAAAGGATACCGATACCACCAAACTTCAGGCGGTGTGGCAGGTGCCGACCGAACGTTTCGTTCCGAACGGGCATTGCCTCCTACCGAACGATCTCGTTCGGTACGAGCAGACCCATGCCCGAACGGCCTCCCGGTCGCCCCTACAGGTTGTTTCCCTGTAACACAGAAAAGACAAAAAGCCCAGTAACAAAACAAAACAAAAGCCCAAGATTTTTTTGCGTTGACATATTAAAGCCTAGTTTTTGCTATGATATGAAAAAAATGCGATCAACTATTAAAAGCAGAAAAATTGCCATGGGCGAAAAGTTTTTTTCGTGACTCAAAAGAAACAAATATATGGCAATTCCCATCATACAAAAAATATATTAAATTTCCATGGGAAATTCATAAGTTAAAAAATTGCCGTGGTATTTTTAATTAAGTTTCCATATAATGTATGCTAAAGTTGCCATGTGTGAGAAAAATACAAAAGATTGAAATTAGAAATATGAACAAGAAAATTCCATGTTATTTTAAATAAAAATTGTCGTGTTTTTGTATGAGGAATTTTCCATGTATGTGAAGTAGCACATATTATGAACATAATTGCCATGGCAAAAAAAATGCAAGTTAATATTTGCCGCAGTGTTTTAATTATAAGTGTCATGCTTTGTATAATAAAAAGTGCGATGAATGGATAACTACATGACAGATTTGCCATGGCACTTAAATATGAATTGCCATGCATATATATACACCATGCAGAAGAAACACATGGCATGATGTGCTAATGGAGAATGATGTTGAAAATCTAATAGTTTTTGTTTGGACTGATATTTGCCATGGCAGCAACATGTTGAAAAACACCAAAAATGCTTGTGAACAAAAGAAGTGGCAATGCAAATGAACTTTGAAAAATCTGGGCAAGTGCATATTCAACAAAAAAAATCAAAATAGCCATGGCAAGTGCATATTCAGAAATGCCGTGCTACTTTTATCAAATTTTCCATGCTTTTTGAAGAACAATTGTGAATAATGTGAAGTACTAAAAAAAGTTGATCAAAAATTGCCATGGTAAAAAAATACATGTTCAATTTTTCCATGGTATTTTCAACAAAAAAAATTCAAATTTGCCATGCTATTTTTATAAAAATTGCCATCTTTTGGGTAATAAAATTGGCATGTATGTGAGTAATAACAAAAAAAGCAGATGAATCAAAATTTCCATGGCAAATACATATTCAAATTTGCCATGGTACTTTTATAAAAAATGCCATCTTTTGGGTAATAAAATTTCCATGTATCTGAGTAATAACAGAAAAAGAAATGATTCAAAATTGCCATGGCAAATGCATATTCAAATTTACCATGCTATTTTTATCATTTAATAAAAATTGCGATCTTTGGGGAAATAAAATTGCCATGTATGTGAATAATAACCAGAAAAACATATGATTCAAAATTGCCATGGCAAATGCGTATTCAAATTTGCCATGTTATTTTTCTTAAAATTGGCATCTTTTGGGTAAAAATTGGCATGTATGTGATTAAAACAAAAAACAAATGACTCAAAGATGCCATGGCAAATGCATATTCAAAATTTGCCATGCTATTTTTATAAAAAATAACATTTTTTGGGTTATAAAATTGTCGTGTGTGAAAAAAGCAAATAGTTAAAAATCAAGTATGAAAACAAGAAACTTGCCCTGGCACATTCGTATCAAAACATGCCGTTGTATTTTAATTAAAATTGCTGTGTGTGAAAACAAACACAGAAAGTTGAAAATCAAATACGAAAACAAGAAAATTGCCATGGCTGATTCATATCAAAAATTGCCATTGTATTTTAATTAAATTTGCCGTGTTCTGAATGAGGAATTTGCCGTGTGTGAAAACAAACACAAAATGTTGAAAATCAATCATGGAAACAAGAAATTGCCATGGCAGATTCATATCAAGAATTGTCATGTTTTGCATAAGGAATTTGCTGTCCGTGAAAAAAACACAAAAAGTTGAAAATCAAGTATGAAAATGAGAAAATTGCCATGGCAGATTCATATCATGAATTGCCATGGTATTTTAATTAAAATTGCCGTGTTCTGAATGAGGAATTTGCCGAGTGTGAAAAAGACACAAAAGGTTAAAAAGCAAAGTATGAACAAGAAAACTGCCATGGCACATTCGTGTCAAAACTTGCCATGGTATTTTAATTAAAACTGCCGTGTTTTGAACGAGTAATTTGCCGTGCGTGAAAATATTTTGCCGTGTAACTATCAAGATTTCTAAAATTTTCCATGATGATGCGTGAACCCTATCGATACTCCTGGCAACTAATCCAATCACAAGTCTCATGATAACAAATCGCGACTAATTGACATGGCAGTTTACATATTGTAAAATTGGGTGAAATTTGTCTCCACAAAATCAAGACTATGTAACATGGCAAAAATAAATACGAGGTGCCATGGCAAGAGAACATAGTAATTGACATGGCAGTTTATTGAGTACAAATGCAAAAAGGTCTACATCACGATGGTTAGAGGAATTATGGTATCCCCAGCCCACCAGGGTTCAAATCTAGGTGCTCGCATTTATTCCTGTATTTATTTTAGAATTTCCGGTGATCCGCATTCAGTGGGAGGAGACGTTCCCGATGTGCATATATGCATTCATAGAGTTGAGTGTATGCACGTATATATGACCGCTTGCGTCTGTAAAATTATAAAATTAAAGTGACAAAATTATAAAATTATAGGGGTGACAAAATTGCTCAGTGTAATTATTCATGGAGTCATCCCAACTCTCGGATCGGAGATGCTAACGGGACAGGAATCAAAGTGGGGGATTAATTATAAAATTCCTTTCCTCGTCCCGGAAGCCACCCCCATTAGTGAATTTGCCAGTTCCTTGATTTTCTTTTTACCATCGATTAAATTAAGACATCTACTAGTGCTCATAGAAAACAGACACCTCCTCCCCCACGCTCTCACAATTTGCACCCAACACAGCTAACTAAGTGCACCACCTCCCAGTGCGAGTTGGCAGCTCCTAGCGGCGACAGCCGTGAGGATCTCAGTCAAAACCGAGGGGCAGGTCGCCTCGAGAAGCTTGCACCCCTCGAGCATGTCCGCCGGGCTGGCCACCAGGAACTCCATGCACCTGTCCTTGAGCTTCTTGTAACCACGCCGCTCCGCCAGGACCAGATCCGTCGCGACGGTGCCCACGCCAACGCTGGCGCACACCTTCTCCTCGCAGACGCCGCGCCATCGACACCGCCTCCTGGCCATCCTTCCCGGTGTCCGGCCAGCGGCCCATCTTCTCCAGCTGTGGCGGCAGCGCGTCCGTGTAGATGAAGCGGAGCAGGGCCCGGAAGGCGTCCGCGTCGGTGTCCTTTACCTCGTGGGTCTCCTCCATCAGGCTTCCAGCGAACTCGGACGCGAAGACCGGCGACCGCGCGGCGAGCACGCACCTGTTCGCGCGGAAGGACTCCGAGCCGGCGACGAAGGTGACGTCCGCGCCGCTCTGGCTCCTCAGGAGGTCGCCGAGGTCATGGCCCAGGTCACGGGGATGGATGGCGGTCTCGGCTCCGTCGCCGCCGTACGTGTACGTCTCGCGGGAGAGCACGGCCTTGCACTGCAGGAAGCAGTTGCCGTCGCGGGCGAGGTAGCCCGACGCCTCCAGCGCGGCCCGGGACACGAGCAGGACCTCCTGGGATGTCCCTTGCCGGAACCGAGGGCAATTGGCCGCCACCTCCCGGAAGGGCCTGAGCGTGCGGCTGGGATCGACCAGGCAGAAGGTGAAGGAGGCCGTGACGGCGCCGGCGTCCGGCGAGGGAGTGCGAACGAGGCTGATGCGGAGCTTCACCCAGCTTTTACTGTAGTGGTAGGGGTAGCGGCTGTTGGGGTGGTAGTCGATCTGCCACTCGTAGCCGAGCACGGCGAACCTCCTGGCCGTGATGTAGGCTTGGCTCCGGTCCCCGCTGGCCGTCGTCGCCGGGATCTTGAGCGCCATGCACACCGTCCGCGTGCCGGCGGCATCGGTTGAGCCGGCGACGCTCATTGTCGCGCGTGTCGATCGCACGTGAACGGCGAATCTGTATTTTGGTCTTCTGGGGTCGCGATCGATCTTGCCTCGGGCTGTAAAGGTCGGTCGAGTTGGACCTGCTCTCAGGAGGATCTTGCCTCGGGCTGTAAAGGTCGGTCGATGTTGGGGGACTCGTCGCGTTTTATTTTGCTCCGGTGAACGTACGGGGGTATGCTTATACAGGACCAAAAACTTGTCCTCGGGGTCTTCCCAGGGCCGCAAAAAGGAATGTTAAAAGAAGACCTGCCCGAGATACGACCAGAGCCTCCTTTTTCCT